TTGTTGATGTCTGTTAACTTCTATAGCCAAATACTGAAGCTCTGCTGGTGCAGTTAAAGAGTTCAGCTGCTAACTGGAAGATTGGTGGTTCAAACCCACCAGCAGCTCTGTGGGAGGAAGACGTGGCAGCATGCTTCCGTAAAGATTTACAGCCTTAGAAACCTTGTGGAACAGTTCTACTCTGTCCTGAGTGTCAGGAGTTGGAACTGATTAGAGGGCAGGGCATTTATAGCCAAATAAATGCACATGCTATTCTTTTGATTTGAGGTATTTCTCATTTCTTTTCCCATCTTGGGAAAATATTAGGACTCAGTTTGACAAACTGGCATTAAGTGCCTACAGTGTGCACAGCCTTAGGCATTTCTGATTTGATAACCTAGCTATAGAGAAGACAGAGGATACCAACTGGGAATTGGTTGCTAACAAGGACTGCTGCTGATGAAGATTGGCTGGGAAGAGTTCTTGAGAGCAAAGAGGCAGGATGGCATGTCAGCACAGCGGGGCTTGAGGACAGTCTGGATCTTCTGATTAAGTAGCCTGGAGTGTTCAAGTAACTAGACTAGGGTCTGTAGTAGACAACGTGGTGTGGCCGAAATAGTGCTGACCTTGGAACTACACAGACCTGGGTTTGAATCTTGGTGCAGCCACATATGATGAGTGTGGCTTGCCCAAATCTGGGACAATTTGTGCAACAAAATAAATAATAGTAATGGGTCATAATCCGTAAAATAAAACAAATTTCCATGAGTCCATATTGACTTAAAAATATTCAAATAAATGACTATGTAGGGGAGAAGAGAAAGCTCTTTCTTACTGCAGAATTCCAATTCATATACATAGAATGGTGAAAATGGAAAATTGTAATTTGGCAAACATCGCTGTAATAATTATTTCAGGTAAGAATCATCAATGGATGCTAAAATTAGTGGGTGAAAGTATGATGAAAAACAGGGCATTTACATTGTCTCAATGTATCTCCCCACAAAATTCTTAATAATTACAAATGGAAAAATAATAATTTTTAGTGGAGAAGCTCAGCAAACATTTTTTAGTCAAGAGAACAGAGTTAAAATCATCAGTTAACTGAGACCCATTAACATCATGCACCTCCTGATAACAATACCTTGCAAAGGGGCCCAACATTACTTTTGTGGTATTCTTGCCACAACCTGAAATGTTGTGTATAACCTGAACTTAACCATGAGGAAACATCTTACAAACTTAATCAGGAGGAACGTTCTGTCATCTAACTGCCAAGAACTTTTTGTGAATGTCAATGTCATGAAAGACTGGAGATGACTAAAGAGAGGATAACAAAATGCAATGCACAGTCCTGGCCTGGATCCTGGACCAGTGACAGGGCATATGTGGGAAAACTGATGGAATTTCAATCAGGTCTGTAGATTAGTAAATAAAATTGTATCAAAGTAATTTCCTATTTTTGACAATTGTATTATGGCTATATAAAGTGCTAACATTTGGGGAAACTGGATGAAGGTTATACAGGGAATTCTTTGCATTATTTTTGCAACTTCTTTTCTAACTCTGAAATTATTTCTAAATGAAAAATTAAAAAAGAAAATAAAGAAGTGTGCCCTTGGGCAAATCACTTTCCCCCTCTGAGCCTTAGCTGCTGCTTCTGTAGATGAAGGACAATCATCCCAACGTACTTCACAGTGGCATGAGGACAAAATGAAGTTGTGCAAAGTGCCACCTGTACTCATTTTTCCTATAGAGAAGTTATTCCTGTTGCTGGTAATGACAGCTCCTGTGTCCCGAGCTGCTAAAACTTCAGAAGGGTTCCACCCTAATGTGAAACATCTGGCTGCCAGCTACTTCCTCTCAGCCACTTGATATGACTTTGTCTAAGGAAATAATAATGCCAGCATTGTGACTTGGTGGCTGTTGTCAAGGAGATGGCTCCAGATAGTACAAACAGCTGGTGGTAGTGACGTCACCTCCAGGCTTGGCAGAAAGAAAGGCCATGGCGAGACAGAGATGGGGCAAAGGCCTCTGTCCCTGACCATGAAACCACTACAGTAGCAGGAAAAACAACTTCCCAAATAGCCTATCCTTTGTGCAAATGATTCTATTTTCAGTTTCCAGGTTCACCAAAGGGCTCAGTACATGATACAGGAAAATGGTCATTCACTGAATGGAGCAATGGATTAATCATAATAAAAGGTCCTCACAAGCTTTTTCTCCTTTATACTTTCCAAAGTGTCTAACTAAATAATGCAGCCAGGTGAGCCCAGCATTGCCTGCCTTATTTTACACATGGAAACACCAGGGTCTAGCAGGAGGAAGGGACCTCGGGTCACAGGATAATCTGGAGGAGTTTCCAGAGTCAGAAATCAAGTTCCAGACTGTAAGGAGTATCAGTTCTGGGGTTCCAAGGATTGCCTCTTCTCTGGGGCAGAGAATAGGAGGGTCCAGTGCACTTTTTTTTTTTTTTTTTTCCTCATGCTGATCATAGAGGTGGCTGAAGATCTGGAAAAGATCAGGTGCAGAACTGTGAGACTTACTTGGCCTCAACAAAAGAAAGAGAGAGATTAGAAAGGAGAGGGGAGAGGGAATGAATGAACATGAGATTGCCATTAACTGATCTCCAAAGGTACTCCTTTGGAGTCATACTCACAAAAATCTTGCAGGATAGGTATCGGTCCCATTTTCCAGATTGATTGATTGATTGACTCTTCATTCTTTTGATATACATCTACAAACACCTAAATGAGTAGGGAGCTCTGGTGGCATAGTGCCTTAACACATTTGACTGCTTACCAGAAGGCTGGTGGTTCAAACCCACCAGCCACTCCTCGGAATGAAGACTGGGCAATCTATTTCCATAGTGATACCACCTTGGAAACCCAAGGAGGGGTAGCTATGAGTTGGATCCGACTCCACAGCAGTGGGTTTGATTTTTTTAATGAGTGGCAGGCACAAAGCTAGGTGGTGGAGACACAGCAGTGAACGAGTCAGAGCACAGTTCTTGCCCTCATGGAGCTCCAGTTTAGTGCAAGAGGAAGACATTAAAAACACATGGTAAGTGCACAAAGGCAAAACAGGGGTTGCTAAGAATACACAGGGTCGCTATGAGTTGGGATTGACTTGATGGCCGTGGGTTTTTTTTTTCTTTTTAAAGAATGTATAAGAGAGGTATCTGATTCCAGTTAGAGGCTCAAGGAAGGCCTCTTTTAGGAAGTGAAACTTACATTGAGGGATGAGGAAACTGAGGCCAAGGGAGGACTTTTTCATGGTTTCAGGGAAATTCATCATCTATCCACTCACTCATCTTTTCAAATAGTTTTCACCCAGGACTCTCTCAACAGCCTGCAGAGGAAGATAGAAGCACTGAGATGGGAAGGGGAAGGTTGATTTTGCTGGCCAAGCACTGCCAAAATCATCTAGGTGTTTGGTCGTTGCTGTGTGCAGCCAGGGTTTATGGAGAGCCCTGATTCAGTTGGTAGCAGCTGAGACCTGGCTCTGGTTGACAGACGTACTGTATATGACTTTGTGTAAGTCATTTCCTCTCTCTCGGTCTCAGTCAACTGATCTTAGATGTGTCTAAGCCCTAAAGGCTATGGGACCTCTGGTAGTGTAGTGCCTAAGGCATTTATTTGACTGCTAAACCAGAAGGCTGGCAATTTAAATCCACCAGCCACTCCTGGGCGGGGGTGGGGAGATTGGGGCAATCTTCTTCCCTAGATATGTTGTTGTTGTTAAGTGCCATCGAGTTGTTTCCGACTCATAGCGACCCCATGCACAGCAGAACGAAACACTGCCCGATCCCGCGCCAGCCCCACAATCCCTGCTATACTTGATCCCATCATCGCAGCCACCGTGTCAATCCATCTCGTCGAAGGCCTCGTCGACCCTCCACCCTACCAAGCATGACATCCTTCTCCAGGGAATGGTCCTTTCTTACAACATGACCAAAATAGGTGAGACGAAGTCTGGCCATTCTTGCTTCCAAGGAGCATTCTGGCTACACTTCCTCCAGGACAGATCTGTTAGTTCTTTTAGCAGTCCATGGTACTTTCAGCATTCTTCGCCAGCACCACAACTTAAAAGCATCAACTCTTCTTCGGTCTTCCTTATTCATTGTCCACCTCTCACATGCATACGAGGCGATTAGAAATATCATGGCTTGTGTCAGGTGCACCTTAGTCCTCAAGGAGGGGAAACCCAAGGAGGGGTCGCTATGAGTTGGAAACGGCTTGAAGGCAGTGAATTTGGTTTTGGTTTTGGTTTAAGTGACAGACTGAAGTGGGAGTGGGAGTGTAGCTGACCATTTGGCCCACATGGATGAATTTATTTGATTCAAACTATATGTGCAAATTACTCTTTGAGTTGGGATTCCACATGAAGGATTTTTATAACGTGAGGCAGCACCCGATTATCTGTGCTTCTACCGAAGGCAGAAGCCTTTTGGATGCACACACTCTAAGGTTTCAGAAAGCTGCAAACACCAGGTCAGTAACTTTATGACTCACTGAGGGGCCCAGATTCACGTAGGAGCTCCAGCGGTGCAGGGATTAAAAAGCATTCAGCTGTTAACCAAAAGGTGGCGATTGGAACCCACCAACCATTACAAGGGATAAAGGTGAGGCAGTCCGCTTCCCTAAAGATTTACAGACTTGGAAACCCTATGTGGAAGTTATACTCTATCCTATAGGGTCAATACGAGTTGGAATCCACTTGATGGCAGTGGGTGGGGATTCGCATATCCCGCTCTAGTTAACCGACAGGGGTCGGCTTTGAGCCCTAAATAAAGATGGCGTCTACGTGCTCCTCTATCTGAGTGCCCTCACAAAAAATGGCAGCCAGCCTCCCTCTGCCTAGTCCTGTTCACCCAAATGAGGATTCTCTGCCCTTACTTAAGATGGTCACCACATACATGTATGTCACTGCCCGGCTTCTGTCCGCGACCAGCTAGCTTCACCATAAGCGCTCTGGTGACTCCGCCTCGTTTACGTAAAAGAAGCGCCTGGAAAGATGGCGGCCGCTGCGGTTTGAATTCCAACGGCGCCTCCAGAATCCGAACAAGAGCTGGATCGGAGTGGGCGGGCACCTGGGGAGTCGGGCGGGTCACCCGCGCGACAAGGAGGGGGGGACCAGTGGCGCCGCCGCCACAGACACCAACGCCACCACCGCCTCTGTGTCCATGATGGACTCAGCGTTGGAGGAGGACGTCACCCTCCCCGGGACTCTCAGCAGTTGCAGGTGTGGCCCGGGCTTTGGGGGTTCGCGGTAACCAGGGCCAGGGTTCCAGCTTGTGTAGGTTTGCTCACACCGGCCTTAGGGTTTGCTCTTGGAGTGCTTGAGGGTCCTTAGACAGGAGCAGCGTGTGGGGCGGGTTCCTTAGGGATGTCTCTGTGTAAGGGTCCCGACTTGGACCACACCTGCTTCTAGTATTTAAGGACACACTTTGGGGAGGGTGTGAGGGATTGGTAAAGGGTTTTCTGAAAGGAGGATGGAAGCCATTAGTAGGGGCTGGTTGGGGCATATGACGACTCAGCAGGGACCTTGAGGGTACTTGATGGTTCATTCTGGTGTGTGGATTTGCTTTCATTGTGAGGAATGCAGTTGATATGTCCAGACTTTGTGCATAGGATCAGGTGAAGGCCACCCAAGACTGAGGAATGCAGTGCATTGGTTAAGAGCATGATCTGTAGTTGGACAGAATTGGATTTAAATCCAGCTCTGTAAACTGACTAGTGGTGTAACTTTCCTAAAGTAACAACTTGCTTTTGCATCTGTACAATGGGATTAGTAGTAATACCCATCTAACAAGGTTGCTGTGACATTTCAAAGAGATGATGCCTGCCCTGCAATTTGCAGGACAAGTCTATTGCCTGTCACATAATTGTTGTTGTTGTTGTTATGTGCCGTCGAGTCGGCCCCGACTCATATAATTAGTGCCTAATAAATGATCGTGTGGTGGCATTATTATTATTATTATTAATAGCACAACTAGTGGAATAAAGGCTAAGACTGGCTTCCCAATGGACCTGTCTGAAGAGATGAAGGCCACATTACTGATGAGGTCACGGATCTCTTCTGGTAGGAAGGCCCGACAGCCCTGGACTGTGTCAGGGCTGGACCCCTTTGATTGTCTCAGGCTTCTGTTGGGAAAATGGGTAGAAGGAGATGGAGGAGAGAGAGCCTGAGTGAGAACCTGCAGTGTTTATTCAGCTCTGCCCCTAGCCATTGCCATCAAATCGATTCTGACTCATATTGACCTGATAGCATAGAATAGAACCGCTCCCTAGGGCATTCAAGGATGTAAATCTTCACAGAAGCAGACTGCCACATCTTTCTCCTTTGAACAGCTGGTGGGCTCAGTCTGCTGACCTTGTAGTTACCAACCAAGCACTTAACCTCTCCGCCACCACGGCTCCTTTCAGCTCTGCTAAGGACTCAGAAAACCAAACCAAACCAAACCAAATCAAACTCATTGCCATCAAGTTGAAGTCTGATTCATAGCAACCCTATAGGACAGTAGAACTGCCTCACAGGGTTTCCACTGCTATAAATCCTTACTGAGGCCGACTGCTACATCTTTCTTCTGTGGAGTGGCTAGTGCATTGGAACCACTGCCCTTTTGGGTAGCAGCTGGGTGCTTTAACTTCTGTGCCATCAGGACAGGCTGCTGCTTTTTGTTAACAGACTGTAATTGAAAGGTGACCATTGTACAAACCAGGATGCTTTTAAGGGTGAAACAAGGCACTATTCATATTTATGTTGGGAAGTAGGCATAAATAGATCCTGTCTTGGGCAACAGAATCCTCACAACTGGACCAATAAGTTGCATCATGATCAGTGGAGAAAAGATTGAAGGTGTCAAAGATTTCATATCACTCGGATCCACAATCAACACCAGTGGAAGCAGAAGTCAAGAAATCACACGCTGTATTGCACTGGGCAAATCTGCTGCAAAGGACCTCTTTAAAGTGCTGAAGAGCAAGGATGTTTCGTTGAAGACTACAGTGTGCTTAACCTAAGCTGTGATATTTTCAGTTGCCTCATATGCATGTGAAAGCTGGACAGTGAATAAGGAAGACTGAAGAAGAGTTGATTCTTTTGAGTTGTGGTGTTGGAGGAGAATACTTCAAGTTCCATGGACTGCCAGAAGAAGTAACAACTCTGTCCTGGAAGAAGTGCAGCTGGACTATTCCTTGGAAGCAAGAATGGCCAGAGTTTGTCTTAATCTACTTTTGTCATATTGTCAGAAGGGACCATTGTGTGGCTGGTATATGACCAGGCGGTGTTCAGTCTGTTGTAGGTAGGATCACTGTGAGTTAGAGCTGACTTGATGGTGTTTAACAACAACAGCATCTTTGGCAAACCTGAACATGTGGTTACTCTGTTGAAAGCCTAGTCTGTCTCAGGACAGAGCAAGACCCTTTGCAACTCCAGCCTAATTAGATCCTTTTGATTGTTCGTCTCCATCTTACCATCACAACCCCAATGTATTGGGGTATCACCTCTCACCTGGATTGTTGAGGCTTCCATCACACATCCAAAAGTCCTTTATACTACAGCCTGAAAACTTTAAGAAATGTGACTGTGATTGTGACAGCCTGTGCTTTATGCTTTTGAATGCTTCTCATTGCCCTCGAGGTAAAGTCTATTATTGTGATCTTAGACAGCCCTTCTCATGACAGTGCTGCCGGTCAAGTACTTGGGCTTTGGGACCCAGGCGAGTGTGAGTGTCAATCCCAGTTGTACTACTCAACAGCCCTGTGACCTTGGGCAGAGCATTCATTCTCTGTGAGCCTCAGTTTTCCTCCTCTGTAAAGTGGATTGGTATAAAGCCCAGGGTTGGTGTAAGGAATAAAATGAATGTAAGAGGGCCTACTCCAGTGTGTGACCCAGAGCAGCTCCTCAGCAGATCAGAGATGTCCTCCTTTCCCTCTGTGCCTTTGCAGGACCCATGAAACCCTCCTGGTACCTGATCTCTAACTCTCCTGCTTCAGAGCCTCACTGACTCCTTGCCACCCTGAGGGTACAGTTATCTTTTTAATGCATTTTATTGAAATATAATTTATGTATAGTGAAATATATAAAATTTAAGTGACACAGGTCAATACGGTTTTTTTGTTTTTGTTTTTTTCTGGTATTCCCTCCCTCTCCCACCCTTGGTAACCAGCAAAGAAAGTTTCCTTCCATATGTAAACCTTTCCTTGTCCTTTGTACAATAATGAACTAATACTATATTTGCCTTTCTGTGACTGACTTATTTCACTGAGCATAATGTCCTCCAAGTTCATCCATGTTATGCGGTGTTTTGCAGATTTGACGTTATTTTTTAGTGTTGCATAGTATTCCATTGTGTGTATGTACCATAGTTGGGTTATCCATTCTTCTGCTGATGGGCACATAGGTTGTTTCCATCTTTTTGCTATTATAAATAGTGCTCGGATGAACATGGGTGTGCACATATCTGTTCTTGTCCTGGCTCTCACTTCTTTAGGATATATACCTAGTGATGGGATTGTTGGGTCAAATGGTATTTCTAATTCCAGCTTTTTAAGGAATTACCATACTGCTTTCCACAGTGGTTGTACCATTGACAGTCCCACCAGCAGTGTATGAGAGTCCCAGTCTCTCCACATCCTTGCCAGCATTTGTTATTTTCTGTCTTGTTGAACTTTGCCATTAGTGCTGGGGGGTGAGATGGTATCTTGTTGTTTTGCATCTCTTTGAAGGAGCTCTGGTGGCATAGTGCCTGAGGCATTTCACTGTTAACCAGAAGGCTGGCGGTTCAAATCTACTAGCCTCTACTGGGAAGGAAGGTTGGGCAATTTACTTCTGTAGTGATACCACCCTGGAAACCCAAGGAAGGGTCACTATGAGTCGTATCTGACTCAGTGGCAGTGCGTTTGGTTTTTTTTGGTGGCTAATGATTGTGATGCCTATTTTTTAATTGGATTGTTAGTCTTTTTGTTGTTCAGGCATTGGAGTTTTCTGTAATTTTAGAGATAAGTCCCTTGTCAGATATGTGATTATTGACAGGTATGAATTTGTTACTGTCATTTTTTTTTTTTAAACTGTGATTTGGGTGAAAATTTACAGAGCAAATTCACTTTCCATACAGTAGTTCACATACACTTTGTCTCATGAAATTGACCACAATTTACCACAATGCAACAGCTCCCCTCCCACTTCCTCCTGATAATTACTTCTTCACTGTGTCCATCCCTCCATGCCCTCCTGCCCCCTGAGCTGTCTCCTGGTGCATAAGCAGCCCTTCTTTCTCCCATGATTGTTCTCTCCAAGGAGTGTATCTACCTCAGGTTCAACTCATATGCCTGTCTTTTGCTTGTCTGGAAGCAACATGTGTGGTTTCAGTTCCAGACCTGACGGGCAGCTAGGGGCCATAGTCTCAGTGCTCAGTGGTTCCACCAGGCTCTATCAGACCAGGAAACCTGGTCCCCCCCTTTTTTTTTTCCTCCAAATGATTTTGAGTTTTGTCCACATTGTTCTCCCTCTCTATACAGGATCTCCTACTTAGATCCCCTTCCAAGTGGTTGACATTGGTAGCCAGGCACCATCTAGTTCTTCTGGTCTCATAGTCATATAGGCTGCAGATTGGATGGTGTACCGGTCACTAGAACTGATTGTATCCATGAATTTTTGGTTTTCTTCATTCTTCTTTTTGCTGTTATTTTGTTATGTGCTTTTTCGTGGTGTTGCTGATTTCTTTGCTCTGTATAATTTTCTGTGCTGAGCTCGTTTTGTTTATGAATCATGTTATCACTTCCTTTGTTGCTATTGTTTTAGTAGTTGCTATATATTTGTGCCGGTCCTCTTTTTTATTTTGATGTGAAGGTTTTCATTTTTCTTTGAGGTTGAGGATGTAGTTTTTTAAGTGTAGCTTCCAAGGTTTTAATAATCTGGCCTTGTTTACTTTTCCAGTCTGTATCCTTACTCTCCCCACCCTGTCTTCTCCCTACACTGCTGAACTCATGGTTAAGAATGATCTTGCCTTTTTCTCTTGCTGCTGGAGCTGTGTACTTGCTGTTCCTGCTGCCTGCATTTCCCTTCCTTCTTCCCTTTGCCATTTATTTCTGGGTCTCAGCTTAGCTGTCACTGCCGGGAAGAGTTCACTGACGTTTCCCCCTCTCCACCTGGCCTTTTCCTCTTCTGGCCACCCCGACCCATTGCTTATTCTATCTCAGACCTTACTTACCTCACGGAATTTTATTAACCAGTGTTGC